ATATATATATATATATATATTCGCACGCCACATAATACATTCCTGAATTTATATTACACTATTGATGAAACTTATACAAAATGACAAATAAAATCCTGTTCATGAAGAGATATAACATCTTGCCTTTTAGCATTTTAATTCATATAAGATAAAAAAATATATGTTTTTGAGAAGAAAAAGTTGTATGTGTGATAGAAAAATGCCTTAAATACTAATGTATAAAATTAATTAGTATTCACTTATGCAACTTAACTTTCGTTAAACATCTGCAAGAGTGACAATCATTATACATATATGTACATACTCTGTGCATCCTCTCGTGATTGTACTTTCACCAATTTCCTGTCTTGTCACGATAAGTTCCGTGTAGCAGAAGAATCTCGTTCTACAAGTATCTATGCCTGCTTCTTTGCAGGCTTTGCTCGTACACACGCACTTTCTGCCTATATAAAACATGACATTTGTGTAACGATCGAACAATTCAAAGAAGTTTAAAATAGAGAGTTCAAATGAGAGTTGACAAAAATATTTACTCACAATAGTGTTTATGAGTTTATTAATTTTGTCAAGTTTCGCAAAGATACGTTGCTAATTTATGAAAAATAAAAATTTGATTTCAAAAATTAATGATGAAACTTGATCTTTATGTTACATGAGGAAATGAAAAATTTGGAGCACGTCAATTTATATGCTCGTTATCTTCTATACATATATGTATTATTATAGTTTCACAATCAGTTTTACTTTGTACAATACCAAATTGTTGGAATGAAATAATTCAGTCGAGCACATTCATATAGAAACTAGAAAAAACGTTTAATTAATGGCGTCCTTTCGCGCCAATTAGAGAGACGTCTGCAGCGCGGCGATTATAATTAAATGCAAGCTCGCTCACCTTCGATTTGCGCGACACTCGTCGACAGAGATACGATGCACCCCGCGAGGAGATATCCGACTAACGATCGACCGATCAATCGACGAGTGAGCATCTCTTCTTTCCAAGGTTTCCAAGGTTTCCAAGGTTTCGAACTAAGTATTTATACTGAATTAGTTTTTGCGTTTATCGCTTGTCAGGCGCCACGTTGCCGATAGAAGGACTGCGAGTCATAATTACAACTCTCGCGATTCTCCGCTGAAATGGATCGTCTTATCGGTTGAAAGGACTATTTCGAAATGTTGTGGAAGGAGGAAGCTATACCGCGACGAAACTCTCTTCGCCGTTACTCGCGTGGGCTCCTCTAATTTTGGCGCCTCCCACTAAAAGAGTGTCGCGTCGTGGCCGGTTCGACAATTTATTCCTGTATCTATTTTAATTCCATCATCGATGGCGTTTATTCGTGGCCGCGAATCCCTTTTCGTTTCTGCTATCGAAAAGCGATATATTTATTCTCACTTCGCGCCTTTTGCTTTCGCGCGAATCCAATCCCCTTTTTTCGCTCTCGTGACAGAGTGCTGGCGAGAGTTACCGCACTCTTAAAGTTATCCGATTTATTGGAAGAATAACACGCCGATTTCTCCCCACGCTTTTATACATATGAAAATATATATTTCGAGACGATACTTTCGTCCCGCGTCGACGACGTATTCGATTCGGACGTAACCGCAGGCTTTGATGGCATCGAATGGTGCGTACGAGAGAGAAAGAGAGAGAGAGAGAGAGAGAGAGAGAGAGAGAGAGACCTCCTCCAGACGGCGCCGACGACTTGGAGTCACAGAGTCCTCGTTAGCGGAAAAATCCAAGACAGGGCGCATCTTTTTCCTCTTCTCTCTGATCGAGAAATATTTCTGTCATTTATACGCAAAAATATCGCGAACATAGTACGATTAAATAAATTATACATATACATATGTATGTACATGTGCATCATAGAGCGATACATGTACGCTCAATTATTTTCACTCTTTTAAATTAGCAACTATTTGGGAAACAGCTACTGCATATATATAGCCATATCCGAGGGAATAGAAGCAAAGATCACAATCCATACAGCACAGAAGATTGAAGCAATATTGCTGCAATGTTGCAATATTACAAATTGCAATGTAATAGAGGTTATAGAAATATAAATTAATATGTCTGCAAAATGTCAGTAATATGCTTGTAATATTTCACAAACATTGCAAAACTATAATTCTTTAATTGTTACAACAATAGTAATATAAATTTTTACAATATTTATGTAGTACAGTCTTTTAGTTTAACAGCCGTTTTTATTTGACGGCCATTTCATTAGCTAAGTTTTATATTTATTTTAAATATCAAAAGATTGTACCTATAATATCGAATTTGGATACAATCAATGCATCATTATCGGAAATAAGATGATAAGCAATTAAACTGCTAAAAACGATTTATTTCGAAATATTAATTATGTGTTCGATGATGTATTTATGCCTGATGTGAACGTAAGAATAAACCAGCACCCGAACTTTATTAATAAATTTCATACCGTCATTTTTTAATTGATTTCAATTGATTCGGATTCAATTTCGAATTAAAAAGCATCACTTAACTTAATCTATGATTAACTTACCAAGCAACTATATTATTATATTAATGTGGATAATATTTGTAGTTTGTTCGAGGCACACACATACATGCTTTATTTTTACAAATCTTTACGAAATTTATCCTTCAGAATTAATACTATATTTATTGGAATATTTTATGGTTTTATTATAAAAAATTGCTTTTGAAGCACATATCACTAGAACGCGATTTGTAGAAAAATTAAAATTAGAAAGATATATGTATATAAATAATATTTTCATTTTCTTCGTAAAAAATTTATCCAAACATTACATTGCAATATTGCTGGAACGTTTTGTTGCAATATAACAAAAAGCGGACATCTTAACATTGTTGGAATTTTGCAACAATGATTCAGCAACGTTTCGCAATCACTATGCAATATTGCAATCTTTCTGTGCTGTATGGGAAGCAAGCATTTTAAAGAAATAAAAAATTTTTATTAAAAAAAATCAAGATGTCTCGCAGAAATATTGCAAATACAATATATGATAATCAGTAATTATAATAAGATCAAAATTACAAACCGGAATAATATTAATTTCAGATTTTTCGAGCCTTTCCTTTTTCGCTCTTTTGACATAATACACCACATCATAATTAAATTGACGATCGCGTGACAATTATATAAGTTATTACAAAAATGCGAGTGGACGGTGATGAGTGATTTCATCAAGAACATGTAAAGTTTTCCTGTGTTTGACTGGCAATGGCGGCAATATACTGACGTTCAATGACTCACGAATCATGGTGCGCGCAGTCATTAGAACTTTTCAAGTGCAGCAGAGATGAGAGTTAAATTCTTCGTTTGGCTTCCTGAGTATGCAACATTAACCAGAATCTCTCCGTTCTTTGCATTTTTTTTATCGACCTTTGAGTCGAGAGAGAGAGATGGTAAAAGCCGAGTTGGGTTATCGGAATAACATTTGGCGTTACAATTTAACGAGGTCGCGCGTCAAGCTTAATAGTCTATTTTCCGATTGCTTCTTGCTGTACACAGTACATACAAACGGATCGAATGTCTGTGAGATAAAACGATTTACGCGGGAGCACAAAGATTTCTTTCATGTAAAATTTATTGAATCATACTTTTATTTAATTTAACTCATCGTTTTTTTCTTATAATTGGTCTATCTCATTGTCAGCTAGATACATCTTTGTACTAGGGAATGGAAGTAACTCGTTATATATTTGGTAACAAACTGCGTTATTTTTTTCTTTGGTAACTGTGACGATAACGAAATTACTTATTTTTTTTTATAACGAATTTTACAATTACTTTTATCGTTACTTTGCACGTGATTAGACACAAGCCACTTATTGTAAAAGTCACTTACACTGTAAAAAAATTTCTTTACACATATAATACACATGTAAAATAGATTATATGATTAATCCTGTATATATAAAAAATCATGGAATTTTACAGAAATTATGTAAGTCCACAAAAATTATGTAAACTTTATTGTGTAAATATATCTTAATTTATATTGAAAATTATGTAAATAGCAGATATTTTGAATATTTTTTGTAATTATTCAAATTTTAGTAATATTACGTAATATAATAGAAATTTTTCGCGTATTGCCATTAAATGTATAATAATATATAATGCGAAATGTATTGTTATATTATCTTCTGTAACTACACATAATTAATTCTGTAACTACACATTGTAATTGTACTTCCACAACAAAATCTGTTTAGTTACAAACCAAGAAATTATTTTTACTTGCATATTGCAAATTTACAAACGTGGACGTTTGCAATTATTATAGTGGGTCTCAAAATTATCCACTATAATAGTTGTAATTTTACACAATTTTTTACAGTTTATAGCGCTTGAGTAGAGGCCCGTCCGCTATGTTTGGCAGTCGTAGATTTAAAAAAAAAATCACAGAAAAATAACAAAAAGTTATTTTCTCAAGTAACGGTAACTGTAACGAGTTACTTTTAAAAATCGATAACTAGTAACAGTAACTTGTTACTTTTAAAAAGTAACTTTTCAGCCCCTGCTATATACATATAATACAATCTAGAAATATCAGATAGGACAGTATCGTTAATGTAAAGCACATTGCTTCAAGTTTTAACAATGCAATTTTGCTAATATAGTGGATTTATACACCATCAAATATAATAAGAAGATTGCTAGCTTATTTGCGCTTATTTCGGACATTATATTTAAACATACATAATTATCTACAACTACATTTTCCTCACGCGTTCATTTTAAGAATGTATTGTACATTTCGTTCGAGCACACGAATATCTTTATTTTATTTGAGAAAACAAAGAGACAATTAAAAAGAGCGAAAGAATAAGTCTCCGGAGGGGACTCGAAAAAATTATCGCTGGATTATCCCTTTTAATTGGCTTAGCTCTGCATGCCACGCACTCTTTCGTTCTCATTCTCGTTCAAATTCGATACAAGCATGTCCTCTTAATTGTCGACGAGAATTGTGCCCATCAAGCGCGAAAAACGAGTTTCGAGCAGGTTCGCACTGCTTGCAGGTCGCGCGTGAGAGAATTAAAGAGCGAAGCTACATCGTTATCCTGCTTATCCGTGTCGATTGCACATCGATTGTACTGTGTGCTCAGTCAAATGTCGTTCGAATCGTTCGAAACTGTTCAAAACCGATGCAGAATCATCACGAGACGTAATTAGAGCGGACCGCAGTCTGTAATTCTTTTATAATAGCTTTATATAAGCTTCAAGAAAGGTCGCTGTGTACTTTCACACACGGACGTCTGCACGAGCACACAGTGTTACTTTCTGCGTGAATTTAATCAGCGAATTATCGTCGACGCGCAAGCAAACCGGTTGAAACCTCGCGATACTTTCATTAAAGCCAATGGAAAAGATAATTACGACTCGACCGTTTCTAAAAACAATTCTAGTTACTTCAATTTTTACGTGCGTTCTTGTTTCACATTCTTATTAGATAACTCATAGTTCTTGTATCTACAAAAATAATTTTATATATATATATATAAAACATATTCATGTAAAATTAAAAATAATTTTAATACTATCAAGTGTTATCTTATCTTTTGCGTATTTAATAAGATTTGTCTGACTGGACAATTCTAAATCTGTTTCGCAAATTTGATGTTTATTGAGCTCTCATATAATTATATATCAGGGATTCGTCTTTCTTTGGAAGAAAAAATATAAAATTTTCTATATCCCATTTATTAGAAATTCTTCATGTTTGTATTATGTATTTAAAGTATATATTACAAGTTATCTACTAGTGATTACATACGAATGTTACATACGAATGGAAAGTAAAAGGCGATAACACGACGTGTTGTGCCGGTAAAGAATGAGAGAACTGATGACAAAGTTTTGAAAACACTGAGCGCTGATGGAACACATCACATCTCGAATCTGATCTTGCGACGAATCGATAAAGCGGCGCTTTGTTACGCAACAACTGGTGCTGAAATATAAATCAGTATTTTATTGGCGCATAGAAATGCGTGAGAGATCAGTATTAAGAATACTATATATACAATTTTCATCGATCTGCAACAAAAGATGACCTTTTAAAAGGGCGAATAATTTGCCTGACAAGCATATATATTTTTTATTATATTTTGTAACTTGTTCGGTGTCAATCGTTTCTTTTTTTTTATATTAGATTTAATTTTTTCAATGTAAACGAACAATCTTTTCAGACGTGCATATACAGATTAGCGATGAATGTAAAATGAGAAAGAATGTTCCAGCTCTTACTCATGTGCGTGAAGCTCGGCTGCGCACCGATTACCAACATCTTTCTCTGCGACGAAAACGTTGTGGGAACTATACTTATAGATATCTGGTTTTCATTAGTTCTTGGCTGATTAAATTCCTGAGCGTTTTGTCTATTATCGTTGATACATGCGTTATATCCGGATGAAATACCTTAAATATTATTATATGTCTTTCTGCAGATTATCTAACTACATATACCGCGTTTATCTGGTTTCAAAGTACATAACAATAAATGCTTTTTAATACGCTTTAAATAACAAACAACGAAGAATTTAGAACACAGACTGTATGATCGTTTTGCCGATAAAAAAAATAAGCAGCAATATTACAAATATACGAATATTTTTTGAATCTTTTATTTAAAGTTTCAAAATCGATACCTGTGTATCTCAAACAAGCTCGATGCATTTAAACAGGTATGCTCACCACAAAAATGACAGAAACGAGTAAAGCACTGTCTAGCCAAAAGTACCAGGCTTCCAAAGGATGACGTGGTGCTCGCCGTTGCACTATGAAATGACGCTGCAAATTATAGCAGCGATGCAGATCATGCGGACGATACTTGACTGTGCATACGTATAATTTAAACGCGTTAATGTCACTGTTGTTTCCAAGTTCGAAGCTGTTTCTATGTTCATAAAAGACTAGTGCCATATTTATCCCTCGACATTAGCACATTGGTTTTTCCTGCTGTAGCAGGAAGATGCAAGATGATTAAAAATTTATCGCTCGATCTTATTGGCGACTATTCACTGCTCAAGTTTCCATAACAAAGCGTCCATAATTACATTTATGTTTGACGTAGCGGATGCGTAACAGTTCGATCAAGTCGTATTGTAAATATTCTGAAAAAAACTTACAAAATTATTTTGATGGTCTTTCTGTCTTGCGTTTTATTACACTACGTTTTATTTACTAAATTACTATTTACTAAATTAATATTATAACACGTGACGTATATCGCACACAAATTTTCTTAGTAACTCATCCTCACCAGAAAGTGATCACTTTGTTCAGTTTTAAAAAATAAAATTACGCGAATATAGTAGGATATTCGACAGTAGACTTGGTGTTCGACTATCGTTGACTGGACTGGACAGGCACGAAATAATCGATATAACAAACGCGGTATGTAGGTACGTTATTCAAGCGCCAAAGCTTAATCGATCGATATGATAAGTGACCGAGCGAAATGCATATTGTAATTGACACATCATGCTCTCATTATGGGCCGTTAATGCCCAGCGACATTACATAGTTAACTGATCAAGATATTAAATAATACTCCAATTAATTACTAAATTTTCGTACTACTATACTAATCGCTATAATGTGAACAAGAACTTTATTTAACTACAATGAAGAAATCAGTTTCATAAAAAAGCAGATTTTTAAATCAATGTATCATAGATCTCTCGATTCATAATAATACATTGTTGACAATAATTGTAAACAAAATTAAATCATTTATCATTTGTGTTCACACAATGTATAAATATAAGTGACGAATATAATATTAATATTGGTTGCCATCATGTGGCGGTGGTGGTGGTGGTGGTCCTCTTGGTGGGAAGGGTGGTCGGAATTGGGGTGGTGGTGGCGGCGGTGGACCACCTTGCGAAACGGGCGGCGGTGGCGGATGTCGCCAAGTTGGAGGTGGTGGTCTTGGAGGCGTAGGCTGATACTGTCCGAATTGTGGAGGACCACCGCTGGAAGATGGTGGAGGAGGCGGCGGAAATTGTCCCTGCGGTGTCCCGACAGACCAAAGTGGTGGTGGTGGTGCCATCATCCTAGAGGCAGCTGATTGCGCCTGAGAAGTCGGCACTGGCATAGGCGGCAACGGCGGTGGCATCCCGGGTGGTAGAGGAGGATGCGTCGCCATAGACATTGGAGGTAGAGGAGGCGGAGGGATGTTCGCTGGTGGAAATCCACCAGATGGTGGTGGTGGGACAGGCGGCGGAGGCGGATGACCCATCGGTGGTCCAGGAGTAGACGGTGGTGGCGGCGGTGGCACGACCATTCCATGATGCATCACATGATGCTGGGGATGATGAGCAGGTTGATGGGTATTCGCGTTTGAATTTGGCATTGGTGGCGGCGCCAAAGGTGGCGCATCCGCAAATAATTGATGCGGTCTATCCGCTTGACTCAGAGGATTTTGAGCCGCTAAAAGTCTTTCGGCAGCACTACCATGTCTCTCGCCCTTAGCATCGCGTTTAAAAGCATACGATACCGAAATTGGCCGATTGCACAGATATTGACCGTTCATTGCCTCAATGCTGGCATCTGAGGCATCAAAAGAAGCGAAATTAATGAAAGCAAAGCCTTTCGAATTACCTGTCTCAGGATCCCTCATTATCTGTAATGTAAAATTATTTCGTTATATAGCAGTTAAAGAAAAAACAGTCGATTGTAATAAAATTAATTGAATGTACTTTTGGTGTTTGCAAAATCACGCCAAATGCACTAAAGGTGTCGTACAACAATTTTTCATCTACTTCTGGATCAAGATTTCCTATAAATATATTTGCTCCAACATCCAAGTTCTTCTGGTGTGCACTAGCCTTGTTTACACGAATAGGTTTACCGTAAAGTTTGATCATATTCATAATTTTAATAGCATAATCTGCATCTTCTTCTCCCATAAATTCAACAAAGCCATATCCTTGATGCATTTGAGTTACTCTATCTTTCGGCATGTGTACATTAACTGAAAAGAAATTATATATTTTACATATATACATTTGAAATTTGTATTTTAAACTTGAAAAATTTAGTTATATCAAATATCCATTTTCACTCTGGAATAATTAAATAATTAAATCGAGTGTTTCATACATACATACATACATACATACATACATACATACATACATACATACATACATACATATATACATACATACATACATACATACATACACACACACACGCACGCACGCACGCACGCACACGCACACACACACACACACACACACACACACACACACACACACACACACACACATACATACACAAGATGTTTGATAAGTAACGACAAAATTCTTGCATAAGGATAGAGCAGACTAAATTGAGTCGAAAACGGAAAGTCCTCTAGCATTTTACTATTTCAGCAATAATTAACAAGATATTAATTAGTAAAAATCGAATATTGATTTGTAATAATTTTTTATTCAACTAGGAGAGATTGAGGCCGGTTATCACAGTTTTTGATTAGTGATTTTAAAAAAAAAGTGGATGGCCGATTTTGAAATATATATGTTATAATATACCTACATTCTTTAGGTATTAAACAAAATATTACTCGTGAATTCATTATGTAAAATGTAAAAATAAGATATTTAATTTTAAATGAAGCTGCGAAAATGTGACAATGAATCCCATATTCTGGATTGATTGTCACATGTCCTAGGATTGGTAATAGCATATTTGTTATGGACAACACATATAAAAAATCCAATTCTTATTTTCATATCAGTTCTACACTTTAAGAAATAGTAATTATAATAATAATATAAGTAAAAAATAGTTCTAATAATAGTAATTAAATAAGAGCAATTAGGAATCCGCGCTGTCATACGTTATACATGTGTTTAAATTACTGGACAAACCTCAATCTACTTGAATATACAATTTCCATTAGTGTAATATATACTTTTTGGCTAAATTCTAGCCTTCTTCAGCATGATAACGTTGGCAATTAATAGAATTGTTCACATGGAACCTTTGTCTTCTACTTATTTTTCATGTCCAGTTAGTATGCTAGATGAACTCATGTAGATTGAGACCTTAGGTAGCACGTATATAGACACAGATAATAACATTTAACTTCCGGATAAAATTCGATATTATAAAAATGTCACATATAACTAAGAATAATGTAAATTTGTCGATGTTATAAAATCGAATTAGACAATGGTCTTAACGGTTGCGAGTCACATGTTAAAAATGAAATATATTCAAGTAGACTGAGATTTGGATTGGAACAGTAATTTAAGCGCATCTATAAAGCGTAGATTCCTAATTTATTGAATTACTATTATTATTATTTTATTATAAGGAATTTTAATACGACTTTTTTATATTAAAAAAAAAATAGTTATTTTAATTATAAAATACATTTGTTTTTGTACCATAGTTTATGAATGTATGAAAAACGAAAAAATATATATGTATATCTGATATATGTCTATTTGAAATATAATATATTTGTAAGTATATTCTGTAAAAATGTGTTCTCTAAAAATATCAAAATTAATTGTCACTTAACCTCGTCTCATTTTCGATCTATCTCACATAGTCATTTTTAATAAAAGAGAGTGTATTCACAAACTTTGTCAAGATAATGATAAATTAATTATAGCAAAGATCTTCTAACAAAGACATGTTCTAACAAAGTCAGTTCTAACAAAGTTCTATGAATACAGGGATATCGCAATTAATAATGTTAAAGATTTGTCAGACAACAAAATACTCACCAACTTAATTCTAAAACTAATTTCTTAGAAATCACTATAATAATATAAATAATACAATACTATAAATAATACAATACTTGTGGTGCAAATCATTTTACATAACAAATTAATATTATATCAGTAATCTAGTAAAAAAAAAAGATTTTTCTGTCATGTCCTATTTGAATTATAAGTATTTTGACAGTCAGCCTTATATGACAATTAGCTCCAGTCTTTTCTACTATCAACTTTATAGAAAAATAGCAAGTGGTAAAAATTTTTATTTTCTTCTCATAGAATTCTGAGAATTTTTTCAGAATTTTTTAGTAGCACATTTTCTCATGTTGGTAAAAATAGTTGCCAATAATAAAAGTGCAGTATTAAAAAATTGCAGTAATAAAAAATTCTGAAAAAAATTTTAATAAACAATTTTTGTCCCATAATATTTTTTTGTAAAGTTGATAGTACTTGAGTAAAAAATGATTGAAAACAATATTTGGTGATTCTTAGTAATTGATATCTTATCAACTATTGCAAAAACTGTAAAATGATAAAGAATTTTTTTATTCAATTTAGTCCATTCTATGTAAGAGTTTTATCGTTATTTATCAAACATCCTGTATATATTTTTAAGAAAATATTAAAGGTATATGTACATAGTCAAATCTACAGTGCCATATAAATCATTAGTTACCACCATAAATTTAAAAAATACTCAAATTTACATATAACACACAATAATGAATAACACATGTGCTTACCAACAGGTCCTGATTGAACAAATAATTCCCACATAAGGGATTCTGTGACTTTGTCATCCAAACCTCCAACGTATATTGTTGCGTCTATATAAATTTTCATATCAAAGATGTAATAAATATAAAAATTAATTTATTATGCATTTGAATATTCATATGACATAAATTCTCTAAGTACTCAATAATATAAAATACATTTTTAAGGTTAACTTTAATATCAAGTGATTAACTTAATTTGTAATGTGACGATAAGATAAGTATAATCGAAGCATTTATTTCTTTTCATGTATTCTTTTGAAACAAGAGGTTATATA